TTATGTATATGTTATCATTTTGTTGTTATTTCTTGTGAAAAAATCCTCTGGACAGCCATGCATTATGGCTCCAGGTATGGGCACACAGAAGATTTTTTTATGTTGGGAACCGGAGTAAGATGCAATAAATTATTGAAAATTTATTGCATTTTCTTCGTTTTTGTTTATTTATGGAAACTGCCCAATACCCTAGCCCCCGCTGCGTACAGTCATGGTTCAGTGACAAAGCAATAGCCTCGTAACTGTGAGGCCCCAGGATCAAAACCGTGTCGATGTGCTATATTAGTGCCCTTTTGTGGGGCATTAATCCTCATAACTGTCATTTATGACTTAAGGGCATAGGTCCCCTAGTTGATAAGCAAAGTAGCATACACATGCTTTAGCTGTCACGCAAAACACACATTGGCAAATCATTATACAATAAAATCTGAGAATGTATACTATTATCTAGATCTATTTTTTTAAATATTATTTTTAAAATAATTCCATGAATTGGAATAAAAAAAAAATTATTCCACCTTTATGAGCGACAGTGTAAGTTCCCCTTTTCAGGTACGAGTAGCGCTCATTTACACTTTTGATAAGCGCCCCCTTCACCTCTGATAATTGCCCTATTCAAATCCGAGAGGTTCCCCTTTTCCTTTGTAAAAAGTGCCCCTTCCCCTTTTGATAACTACTCCTTTTTAACTCGGATAAGCGCACCTTATATTTTCACATGTGCCCCCTTTCCTTTTTAATAAGTTCCCCTTTTCTTTATGATAAGTGTCCCTATTTAAAAAGAGCCCCTTTTCCTTCTCATAAATGCCCCATTTTCATCTATGAAAATAGTTCAAAATCTGAAGGGTGCCTCTATTCCGTCGACAAATGCCCATTTCCCATTCTCATAAATTCCCTTTTCATCCCTGGTGTGTGCCTCTTTTGTTAGGTATAAGAAGTGCACCATTTTCACTGATAATTAGCCTTTGTACTTTGACACGTGCTCCTTTTCTTTTCTATTCTTAACCCTTTCGATAAGTTTCACATTTTCCTCCCATCATTAAACATGCCCCTAATGTCAAGCGACTAAGAGCAATTTACCCCAAAGCTCGCTCTTAGTTATAGATGTTATAATTTTGGATCTTTTCAGTCTTCCTTTATGAGAATTGTCTTATAACCCCATGAGGATTGGGTTTTTCCTCTTTATAAGATGTAATTTTCGCACTGCGACCTCACGAATCTTAATTTTGTTTCCTCGCTCGCAAACGAATTTTCAGACGATCACACCCAACTGCAAAGTATGATGATTGAGCAATATCTTGTATGATGTATAAAGAGAAACAAATATTAAAAACATCCCTAATAATTCAATCACAATATAGGGGTATATACCAATGTCCAAAAAATTGTATATTTTCGCTTTGAGATTTCCCTTTGAAGGTGCCCTGTTTTGTCCAGAAAGTGCCCTTTTGTGTTGGTGCCCCCCCCCCTCAACTTTGGAAGTCGCTCCGCCGCCTCTGAGCTCAGCTTAAGCCAATTTACCATGCTGCGACTTGTCGGTGCCTCAGGCATCCCGGGGGGGGGGGGGGGTACTCAGATTCAGTTTGGACGGGATGTGCCGCTCGAGCCTCGAAACCCCTACCAATTTTTAAGGATCATTCTGTGGGGGGGGGGGGGAATTTTCTCGAAATAAAATAAAGGCACATTTTAATTTTGAAGAAAAAAACGGATCCATGTTTTGGAGTTTTTGTGAACACATATTTGGGCACAATCCCGTATGTCTTAATATGTGAGTACCCCCCCCCCCCCCCCCCCAGGGCTCGGGCATGTAGAAATCTGTGTCTTTTTATGAGACCGAGGTCAATTATGCAGTGTATTTTTGAAAAATGTAGTGCTTCTCTCTCTCTCTCTCTCTCTCAATCTCTCTATATCTTAATCTTTCTCTCTCTCTCTCTCGGCTTTTTCGCTTTCTGCATCTCTATTTTTATCTCATTTTTCCTTCTCAGTTTCTCCTTCTTTCCCACTCTCTCTTTCCCTTTCGTACCATCTGATAGGGATAATGTGCCTTATCGGCCCCGTCGCTACGCTACAGTGTAGAGTGCTCGATCGAATCGATGGCAGTTCATGATAATTGTGGTGATATCCTTCATTTTGAATTGATCTAGGCATTCTAGGGTGACGGGAAAACGACACTTTTTTTGCATCCATTTCTTTATACTCTCTTAATGCAGTGAAAGGGTACTGAACTCTTTAATGAGTCATATTGAGGATAACTCTGTTTTTGGAGTTGAATCCACCCCAAGTTATAGTGGATTCCACTCCGAAATAAAGGGATCTTAGAAAAGTGTATGGAAGAGTGGATTTCTACTGCATACCTTTACGGACTAACAATGACGTTAATATCAACCCAACAAATATATTTATTGTCCAAATAATGTATTATGATCACCATTAATCAAAATGTATGGATGGATATAATTTTTATTTAACCTAATTATTTTCATCAAGAATTGCAACAACAAAAAAAACAAAAACAGATTTCTAATATGAACAAACATGGACGATCAAGCAATTATATTATTGTTATTATAAAAATACAAAATTGTCAGCTCACTTCAATAGAGTAGTAACATTCTAAAAGCTCGGACAGTCTATGGCCCTTATATTTCCCATGACAGTGACGCCTTCAAAGAAAACCATAAAAATATCTTTGTGGTTTGAGAATTTTTTCAGGATTGTTTGCATGTTAGAGGCTTAGTGTGCGGGTAAGCCTGAATCCGATGACCGGGGTAATATGGCTCACTACCAATGACATTGTATGCGGATTGGTTATCTGGTCAGATTACTTCAGTCACGTCGCCGCACAGTGGGCCAGGGAGGAACCAAAGTGCGCCCTAATGTCCTTTGGCAAGACGTTGATCTACATTTGCCACTCTCCACCCAGGTGCTAAATGGTTACCCGGTATAGGATGCGAAAGTTAATGTGGTTGGATGAGCAAGTGGCGTTTGTAAAATGACGACTGGCCGGAATGCTCCCCAGGGAGTGGAGAATGTGCATACATTGTGTGCGGGTAAGCCTGAATCCGATGACCAGGGTAATATGTACTGCGCCTATAGAAACAAAGTATTAGGCGCATTATAAATGTGAGCTATTATTATCATTATTATAAATGAAAAAGTCAAAGCATGTTAAAAATAGATTCTATAATTCATTAGTTTCAGGCCAGAAGGGCTATAACTATGTGTAGAATTGTGTGAGATAATGCCTTCATGGCTCCTTAACTAAACATTAATGGCACACAATCAGTGAGGAGACAAGGAGATGTGACAATTAATATTATATCCCGCATACTAAGAATCTTGCAATCTGATTGGTCTAAACGAGGTCACATGATCAATGATAGATAAGTACTGCGATATGACTTTTGTACAGTAACTTTTTGCTACTGCCTCACTTGCCCATTGAATTATCATATAGCAAAGTAGGTTACGCGAAATGTCAATGTCAATGTCAATGTCAATGTCAAATGAGCGCGCATCGACTTTATTACATGTATGCATGTTGTGCTTTGTAAAATCTAGCTGAAGCTAAACTGTCTGCAGAATCAGTTCTTTTAATTATGTAAAATTCACTTTAAATAGACCTTATTGCCGATGTGGGATGACAGTAGCCCCGAGATCACCTCGGAGATGTTAGTTTGTACCGGCATTACCCTTGTAGTCGAGTAATATTTGCTTACTATTACTAGTGCCTTACCCAGCGTATAGTAGACCACGCCCTCTTTCCAGTTTGAAGGTCCATTAAACATCAATGAAATTGATCTAGCAGATACTCTGGGGCAATTCGTCACGCAAGGGTCCTCACCCCCTCAAATCACACTGGGAAGAACCCCAACCCCTGCTCGTTCATTTCCGCGCCCCGGGTAAGTTTCTTGAAAGTAGATGTAATTAATTTCAAACTTTATAAATGCTCAATAAATGCTAACTCAAAACCTGGGTGCGCAAATGATGACTATGCATCAGAATGCCTCGCCCACGCATTTATCATACAATGACCCATTTGAATGTGCTTGCATTCAAACGATGCAACCAATTGTTTCTGGAAAAAGTGCTTGTGAACTGTTAACAGCAGCGTGTCTATACAAACGCTTACTTATCTTGACCAATTTCACAACGGATAAACCATTCAATATCTAACGGTAAGAGAAAAAACTGTTAAAAAACTTTTCTAACAAGCGGATAAACTGTTTGTTCAGCAATAACTGCTAATTACCTGCGTTTTAAGTGTTTGAATACTAACACCTAAACATTTATGTGTTAGTGCATGTGTTTTTTGTTTTTTGTTTGTTTTGTTTTGTTTTGTTTGTTCTTGTTTTGTTTTTTTTGGGGGGGGGGACAAAACATGTTAAACAAACGCTAAAACTAGTTTGACATTTTAAAGTACAGTTGCTTCTCATGAAATATTGCTCTCGGTTTCATAACTGTCTGAACCTACTTTAAGCGAAGATAAAAATTGAATTCCAGCGAAATTTACACTCAAGCAAACAAAGAGGTTAATGGTCTTTCGTCGATCATTAACAACTTACCAAGTGGCTCTGGCTTCCTGTTTCTTGGTTATTCATTTGTTCACTATAGAACATGACGAAATAGAAATTTAATCTCTCTGTCATAAGGAAGTTTATAATTCAGACTAAGGAGCTTTCTTTATGATCATCATTATCGGCATCTGAGTCAGTTCTGCACTTTCTACATGGATTTAGATAATGTAAGGACCTCGGAAGAAATAATTCTTAGATTATAAACGAATGGAGAAGAGCTATAAGGTTACCTTCAAGTTGACATCATCGTTGTAAACAACACGACTTCATGAAAGAAATGTTTCCGTTCTTGGAAATACTGGCAAAGTAAAAAAAAAAAAAGTTGGACAATATTATACCTTGAGAAATAAATTGAATTATTTTCATTTTTGCTGTGATTGAAACTACGGACATGGGGATTTTCAGTCTATCTACAACTTTCCTGCTATGTGTGACTTGGTCTACAATATTTTCTGGTAGGTCTGCTTTATCCGTGAAGAAAACTGTAAACATCGGGGATGACATAACCCTTGATTGTGTAACCAAATGGAATCCAAATATTATTCTACACTGGTTACAGAAAAAGATAGGATCATCACGACACAGTTACATAGCAACGGCTGGTCCCCAAAATGAGAACGGGTACATCTTTCAACGTTTCAGGGATGACTCGCGTTTTTCGTACAGCTACGAAAACGTTTCTTCGAGTGAGATGAAAATTGCTTTTCCAATTTACATATCCAACATAACTGAGGAATATTCGGCCAACTACACTTGTATTGCAGTTGAAAATAGATCATTCAGACCAAAAACATTGTCTACGTATGATGTTCGTGCCATCGATTGCATATGCTCTTTGGAATCAAATGTGATGTGTGATATTGTCGGGTTAAATTCGATTGATGCTTTTTTGATATATCTCAGGGTTGATGGAATAAGTGTCATACAGATATTTAACGATAGCCGTTTCGAATTCTCATCAAGACTTCTAGACGAATCAACACAACACCATTCTATTGAACTATCTACATCGGATGGCATCCTATCAAGTATTTCCTGCACTCTTCCTATTGAGTTTATCCAGTCACCCACGCAGGCGGTGACGACATTCTTCCTAGCTCAGCCTATTAACCCGTCGTCCACACAGAAGACGACTTCAGTCTTCCCCTCCCAGCCTAACCTGTCATCAAAACAGAAGACGACTTCGGTCATCCCCTTCCAGCCTCATTCGTCACCCACACAGAAGACGACTTCGGTCTTCCCCTTCCAGCCTTATTCGTCACCCACACAGAAGACGACTTCGGTCTTCCCCTTCCAGCCTTATTCGTCACCCACACAGAAGACGACTTCGGTCTTTCCCTTCAAGCCTTATTCGTCACCCACACAGAAGACGACTTCGGTCTTCCCCTTCCAGCCTAATTCGTCACCCACACAGAAGACTACTTCGGTCTTCCCCTTCCAGCCTTATTCGTCACCCACACAGAAGACGACTTCGGTCTTCCCCTTCCAGCCTTATTCGTCACCCACACAGAAGACGACTTCGGTCTTCCCCTTCCAGCCTAATTCGTCACCCACACAGAAGACGACTTCGGTCTTCCCCTCCCAGCCTAGCCCGTCATCCACACAGAAGACAACTTCGGTCTTCCCCTCCCAACCTAACCCGTCATCTATACACAAGACGACTACGAACTTCTCTACCCAGCCTGATCCATCACCAGATACCTCATCAGAAGATCACACATCTCTTTTACCAAATACGACATCACCACCCTTTTGGCAGCCTTCAACCCCAACCAATGTAGGTTCACAAATGGAAGATAGCACATCGGAGCCGAGCACAACAACACCAGCGTTCACAACCTTCAGCAGAACGGTAACCATTGGCTGGAATTCAAAAAGGAGGTTTGTAGTCAATCCAGATTTGTTCAAGCCTAGGTTTGTATAACTAGTCTTAGTTGCAGACCTCCTAACATAATTATTATGGGCCACGGTTTAAATGTTAAGGATTGAAAAACCAAGTTGAACTGAGCATTCTCAGTACAATCCAGAGATCTTAATGAGCATTCTTGAAAATAGGATGCTTAGAACATCTCTGAAATGAACTTTTGATTTGTATTTGTATGAATTGAGTCAACAATCAGGAGCGCAACTGTCATTGCGTTCTCCTTCATCGCCATCTTTCTCACAGCCATTCATTTCTTTTCTTTTCTCTAGTATGATCTCTTCGGCACCACGAACCACAGAGAAAGTAGAAATCCAAGCGACTTCATCCATCAAAATAGATAAGATGATCAAAGATGGTGTTCATGATAGCATTCACAGCAAAATGCTCACCATTGCACTCGCTGTGAGTATCTCGGTTGTGGTTCTCACCCCGGTTCTCATCATAACAGTTGTCGCGGTGGCATCAATTTGGAGACGAGCGTTGAGATCAAAACGTGGTCGAGCGAACTTGGACACAATTAAAGACTGTTCAGATTCCACTGAGGAGGTAGGTAGTTTATCGTAGTAAGTGAGTTTAATAATTTACTGCACACGCAGCCCCGATAAAAAAAAAAAAATCTTGCAAAATTTAGCTAATCAAATACGCTTTTACTAATTTAGATAGCATTGGAAAATTGCCATAGATACAAGACAACAAAATGGTTTAGAAATTGGAAACAAATGTATCCCCACAAATGAAAATCGCATGAAGTACACAAATTATAAAAATACTTTGACAAACCTGCTTCGGAATGCTAAAAAAGAGTATTATTGTAAACAGTTTACTTCCTGTAACAGAGACATTAAAGGGACATGGAGAACCATAAAGAATGTACTTAATAGTTCACCAAATTCACGAAATATCTCTAAAATTAAGAACCATGGAACAGCAACTGAAAACAAACAAACTATTGCCGACATATTTAATGACTTTTTTACCAATATTGGGCCAGATTTGGCTCGATCTATACCAACGTCGGCAAAATCTTTTGATTGCTTTTTGAATAATCCCAACCCCACTACACTATTAATGGTACCAACCAATGAACAAGAATTAACTGAAATTGTGAAAAATTTAAAGATTAAAAAGACCCCAGGTTATGATGATATTACCAATAAGTTACTGAAAAGTGTCATTAAAGAAATAATCGTACCTGTAACTCATATTATGAATATGTCAATGTTAAATGGCATAGTACCTGGAAAAATGAAGATAGCAAAAGTTGTACCGATTTTTAAAAAGGGTGATCCTCTAGATCGTAGTAATTACAGACCAATCTCTCTACTCACTACTTTATCAAAGATTCTTGGAAAACTGATCTACACTCGAACATTTAATTTTTTCACACGTTGTGGAATTTTGGCGTACTCTCAGTTTGGATTTCGAAAGAAACATTCTACTTCTCATGCTATACTACTTTTTATTAATAAAATTGCGTCTGCTCTTGACGACCGCTGTCATACTGCAGGATTATTTTTGGATTTTTCTAAGGCATTTGACACGATTGATCATAACATTTTGTTTAAAAAACTTCAGCATTATGGTGTCAGGGGTAAGGCGTTGGAGTGGTACAAAAGTTACCTCAGTAGTCGTACACAGTTCGTTTCATTAAATGGGATTGCATCGAGTTTCAAGCCTGTCACGTGCGGTGTTCCTCAGGGATCTCTCTTAGGGCCGCTACTATTCATAACATATATAAATGACTTCAAATTTTCATCCACACTATTGTCATTTATACTATACGCAGATGACTCAAGCATATTTTATTCTCATCAGAATCCTCAAATTCTTGTTGAAACTGTAAATTCGGAACTTGAGAATATTGCACAATGGATTTTTGCGAATAGACTGTCACTGAACTTGGACAAAACTAATTTCATATTATTTAGCAATTCAATCTCCGATTTACCTGGAGATATCTGTTTCAACAATGTTAAAATTAAGAAAGTAAAATCGACCAAGTTTCTTGGCCTGTTTATCGATGATAAAATGTCCTGGAAAATACATACAAATTATTTGTGTTCATTACTATCAAGAAATGCTGGTGTTATATACAAACTGAAACCTATGTTCCCAACATATGTATTGCAAATGTTGTACTCCACTTTAATGTTGCCCTACTTGAACTATGGTATTCGAGCCCTCTTTTCTTTAATACTAAAGTACTGAGAGTTCGGGATATTTTTAATTTACAATTAGGCTGCCTCATGTTTCAGCTGAATAACAACGAACTGCCCCAGGCACTATCTTATTTGTTAAAGAAAAGAAATCAAGTTCACGAATATTCTACCCGACAGGCGTTTTCCTATCACCTTCCTAGAACGAGAACAAGCTTTGCTCAAAATACCTTAATATATACAGGTCCTAAGTTCTGGAATTCTCTCGATTCTGTGATTAAAAGGTCTGTAAGTGTACATGTATTCAGAAGAAAATTGAAAAGTTATTATTTGAATACATATTGTCATTCCTGATTCTTGACTATTCTTGTCTCCAAACTGTATACTTATGTTCATTACAATGAGTAACTATAAACGGTATGACCATACCAACTATGTTTATAATATTCTCATATGGAGAACAAACTATATTGTAATATTATTTCAATAAGCTGCAGATATATTCCCTTCCCTTTTCCTTGTCTTTTGTAGTTAACTGTGAGTATCGGTTCATGTATCCCTGTAATCTCCCTTTCCCTGTTTTAGCGTGTATTTGTATTTTATAAACTTTACTTTAGTTAATTATGTCATGTTTAGTTTAAGGAGCCTATCCACAACAAGCTCTGCTTTTCCATAGGCTCCGCCACTGTATCTCTTAAGTTAAACTTAATGGACAATATTCTGAATAGTGTGTACCGTTATTGTATGTACATGTAATCATTTTAAATATGTTGTTACACTCTTTGTAAAATGAGATATTGTGGAAACCAATAAACTATCTATCTATATAGATATTATACTTTGCATCACTACCAATATTATTTGATAATACACCATTATTCATTTGCTGGAATAACAACATTTTATTATTTAGGCCAACTGATTCCGAACGATTAATAAAGTAATGTTATGGCTCCAACTTAATCCCACTAATTTCCCACCTATTTATCTTCTTTAAAAACATCAGAATTTATCAACACACGCCATCCACCTAAACAACGAGTATGAGAGCGCAATACCCATATCACAAACGTATATGTGTACTGAAGTTGAAGCCAGCAGCTTCCTGCCTCTAACAGATACCTCACCAACTTCACAGGTTTACAAAGAAGTGGGAAACAATCTGCGAGAGGACACGGATGCAGACGACTACACCTTTCCTAACGTAATAGGTAAGGATACTGAGGGTTACGTTATCATGGTATCCAACGTTAAAGATGAGGATGCGTACGGTTATACCCTTCCAAATGTCACGTTCCACAACGTCATTTGAACCACATCTATAGACAACAAAGATGAAAATCTTGTCCCCCTTGTAAGATGCTGCAAGGGTATTAGGACGATGAGCTCTACTAAGGATACACACACTTATGACGATATAATAATAATCAAAAGACAAAAATAAGTTATGGAAAAAAAGATTGTGTGCGCGCGCGTGTGTGAGGGTATATAAACCTATATTATGTGTGTGTGTGTGTGTGCTGGAAAACAATTCATGAAGTGTCTTGTATCGAAGATCTAGTTTTATATTACTTATTGTGATATTGCGACGGTATCTGAATTTCAAAAAGAAAACAAATTACATTTCTAAAAGGTTTCTGCCCTTTCATATGACACCTCAATCAGGAAAAAAGAGTTAGGAATGCCAAAGTTCTGTTTGTTTAAAGTAATGCTTGCATTTCCTTAATTTTATTAAACGAATTCATTTTCACTGGCTACCTGCCTTAAGCTATGGTCACAACTCAGAGCGGCGACCGACCGATTTGTAGCCTTCTCGGTCACCGCTAGAACTTAGGCATCGCCCGACGGTTTTTGGAGAAGTTGAGCAGGCTATAGAGCCCCAGCGATGCCTGGGCGGTCCCCTGTCGATTTCCCGTCGGTCGCCGGTCGATTTTAGGTCAAAACTGGGCGAAATCGGGGAGCTTCTCCGGGCGGCGTCCCGGCAACGACCGACTGACGACTCATCGATTCCCGAGCGGTCTCCGGCTGATTTTAAAGAAATTGCCCGGCCGGTGATCGGCGGGGCACCAAAATAGGCACCGACCTAATCGAGCGTTCACCGTCGAGCGATTTAGGTCACAAATCGAAGCCGCTAGGTCAAAGGCTGCCGACCGATTTTGAACTCGCCCAGTGACCGACTGAACTCCCAGCGGCGACCGTGCGGCGACCACTCGGCAATCCTTTGACCCAGCGATTTCGATTTTTGACCTTAATCGCTCGACGGTGAACGCTCGATTAGGTGGTGCCCGGGCGGTGACAGCCCGGGCACCGAACGTATTTTGGGCGGCGGAGAGAAAAGTGCGCAGGTGCCGCCGAATTTTAACTCCGCACTAAAACTTCAGCGGCGACCGAGCGATACCCTAAAAGCAAGCGGTGCCCGGGCGTAATTGGCTAAAAACTCATCGCCCGGCCGCCAGGCAGGCTCCTTTTTGGGGTTGTGACCATAACTGTAGCAAGAGGCGGTGGAGTGACTTCTAAAGTGGGGGAGGGGGGGGGGAGCACCCCCCCCAAAAAAAAGGGCACCTTCAAAGGGAAATCCTCAAAGCGAAAATATACAATTTTTTTGACATTGGTATATACCCCTAAATTGTGATTACATTATCAGGGATGATTTCAATATTTGTTTCTCTTTTTACATCATATAAGATATTGCTTAAGCATCATACTTTGCAGTTGGGTATAATGGTCTGAAAATTCATTTGCAAGGGAGCAAAGCGAGCGAGGAAAATTTTAAAGATTTGTGAGCTCGCAATGCGAAAAATTACATCTTATAAAGAGGAAAAACCTTATCCTGATGGGGTTAAAATCATATTCTTATAACGGAAGACTAAAAAGATCATTGATCAGTTACATAATTATAACATCTAGGCTATAACTACGAGCGAGCGTAGCGAGCGAGCTTTGGGGGAAATTGCTCTTAGTCGCTTGAAATAAGGGGCACGTTTAATGATGGGAGGAAAAGGGGACGCTTATCGAAAGGGTTTAAGACACTTTATATCAGAAAAGAAAAGAAGCTCGTGTCAAAGTACAAAAACTCATTATCAGAGGTGAGAATGGGGCACTTCTTACACCTAAAAAAAGGCACGCACCAGGGATGAAAAGGGATTTTATAAGAATGGGAAGTGGGCATTTGTCGACGGAAAAGAGGCACCCATCATTTGATAGGGGCATTTATAAGAAGTGAAAAGGGGCATTTATGAAAAAGGGATAGGTTCCTTATTAGAAGGGGAAAAGGGGCACATGTTTAAAAGGGGTATTATCAGAGGTGAAAGGGGCTCTTATGAGAATTATCATACTGTACAATGATGAATGCAATCAGCTGGCTGCTTCTCATGAAAAACTGCTCTTGGTTTCATAACTCACCCTACCACATCAAGCAAAAATAAAATTGAATACAAGCGAAATTTACACTCGAGCAAACAAAGAGGTTAATGGTCTTTCGTCGCTCATTAACAATTTTTTTTTGTTCCTTAACAACTTACCAAGTGACTCTAGTTTCCTGTTTCTTGGTTCTTCATTTGTTCACTATAGAATTAAATGGAGCCTTTTCATGACAGATTGTTTCGGCAAGGACACGACGAAATAGAAATTTAATCTCTCTTTCATAAGGATTATAATTCAGACTAAGGAGTCTTCTTCATGATGATTAATTGGCATCAGTTATGCACTCACCGGAATATATTTATCAAGTGAGGTTATTTTCCACATTGATTTAGATAATGTAACGACCTCGGAAGAAATAATTCTTATATATACACACGAATAGATAAGAGCTATACAGACAACTTCAAGTTTACATCATCGTAAACAACTCGACTTGACTTTTTTATAAAATAAAAACAAGTTGGACAATATTATATAACTTGAGAAATGAATTGAACTATTATCGTTTTTGCTGTGATTTAAACTACGGACATGGGGATTTTTAGTCTATCCACAACTTTCCTGTTATGCGTGACTTGGTCTACAATATTTTCTGCTGGGTCTGCTTTATCCGTGAAGAAAGTGTTAAACATCGGGGATGACATAACCCTGGATTGTGTAACCAATTGGAATCCAAATATTACTCTAAACTGGTTTCAGAGAAAGATAGGATCATCACGACACAGTTACATAGCAACGGCTGGCCCCCAAAATGAGAAGGGGCACATGTTGCAACGTTTCCAAGGTGACTCGCGTTTTTCGTACAGCTATGAAAACGTTTCTTCGAGTGGGATGAAAATTGCTCTTAAAATTTACATATCCAACATAACTGAGGAACATTCAGCCAACTACACTTGTATTTCAGTTGAAAATGGATCATTCAAACCAAAAACATTGTATACGTATGATGTTCGTGCCATCGATTGCATTTGTTCTTTGGAATCAAATGTGGTATGTGTTATTGTCGGGTTAAATTCAAGTGGTTCTATATTGGTATCTCTCAGGGTTGATGGAATAACTGTCATACAGATATTTATCGCTAACCGTTTCAAATTCTCATCAAGCCTTCTACTTCTAGATGAATCAACACAACACCATTCTATTGAAATATCTTCATCGGATGGCCTCCTATCAAGAATTTCCTGCACTCTTCCCATTGAGTCTAACCAGTCATCCACACAGGCAGCGACGACGTTCTTCTCCACCAAAACTCAACCATCATCCACGAACACTGGGACAATGATCTTCACAGCTGAGCCTAAGCCTTCACCCACACAGAAGACGACTTCGGTCTTCCCCTTCCAGCCTAATTCGTCACCCACACAGAAGACGACTTCCATCTTCTCCTCCCAGCCTAGTCCGTCATCAAAACAGAAGACGACTTCGGTCTTCCCAACTCGGCCTAAATCGTCACCCACACAGAACACGATTTCCATCTTCTCCTCCCAGCCTAGCCCGTCATCAAAACAGAAGACGACTTCGGTCTTCCCAACTCGGCCTAAATCGTCACCCACACAGAACACAATTTCCGTCTTCCCCGCCGAGCCTAGCCCGTCATCAAAACAGAAGACGACTTCGGTCTTCCCAACTCGGCCTAAATCGTCACCCACAAAGAACACGATTTCCGTCTTCTCCTCCCAGCCTAGCCCGTCATCAAAACAGAAGACGACTTCGGTCTTCCCAACTCAGCCTAGCCCGTCATCCATACAGAACACGATTTCCGTCTTCTCCTCCCAGCCTAGCCCGTCATCAAAACAGAAGACGACTTCGGTCTTCCCAACTCAGCCTAGCCCGTCATCCATACAGAAGACGACTCCAGAATTCTCTACCCAGCCTGATCCATCACCAGATACCTCATCAGAAGATCACACATCTCTTTTGCCAAATACGACACCACCACCCTTTTGGCAGCCTTCAACCCCAACCACTGTAGGGTCACAAAGGGAAGATAGCACATCCGAGCCGAGCACAGCAACACCAGCGATGGTGTATACCACTAAGGTACAACACGGTATCACAACCTATCAAAGTGGGTCCAGCAGAACGATAACCATTGGCTGGAATTCACAAGCCGTTCATTTCTTTTCTTTTCTCTAGTATGATCTCTTCGGCACCACGAACCACAGAGAAAGTAGAAATCCAAGCGACTTCATCCATCAAAATAGATAAGATGATCAAAGATGGTGTTCATGATAGCATTCACAGCAAAATGCTCACCATTGCACTCGCTGTGAGTATCTCGGTTGTGGTTCTCATCCCGGTTCTCATCATAACAGTTGTCGCGGTGGCATCAATTTGGAGACGAGCGTTGAAATCCCGCCGTGGTCGAACGAACTTGGACACAATTAAAGACTGTTCAGATTCCACTGAGGAGGTAGGTAGTTTATCGTAGTAAGTGAGTTCAATAATTTACTGCACACGCAGCCCCGATAAATATTTTTTCTTGCAAAATTTAGCTAATCAAATACGCTTTTACTAATTTAGATAGCATTGGAAATCTGCTATAAATCCAAGACAACAAAATGGTTTAGAAATTGGAAACAAATGTTTTTATAGATATTATACATTGCATCACTACCAATATTATTTGATAATACACAATTATTGATTTGCTGGAATAACGACATTTTATTGTTTAGGCCAACTGATTCCGAACGATTAACAAAGTCATGTTATGGCTCCAACTTAATCCCACTTAATGTCCACCTATGTATCTTCTTTAAAAACATCAGAATTTATCAACACACGCCATCCACCTAAACCACGAGTACGAGAGCACCATAGCACAAACGTCTTTGTGTACTGAAGTTGAAGACAACGCCCTGGCCTATCCGAGCAGCGTCTTGCCTCTAACATATATTTCACCAACTTCACAGGATTACGAAGAAGTGGGCACCAATCTGAAGGAGGACATGGATCCAGACGACTACACCTTTCCTAACGTAAGGTATAGGTCTATAGGGAAGGATACTGAGGGTTACGTTATCATGGTATCCAACGTTAAAGATGAGGATGCGTACGGTTATACCCTTCCAAATGTCACGTTCCACAACGTCATTCGAACCACATCTATAGACAACAAAGATGAAAAGAGTGGTGAATAAGGCAAGGCCGATGTCGTTCAATTTGCCATATGCAACTGTAAACAAATAAAGTAAAGGTGTCCTTGTTAAAACTATATAGTTCCCAGCATAGGACTTTGCGAGAGTTAGCAATTCGTGCTGTACCATCGACAACAAAGATTTACAATGGATATCATGCAAAACGAACGCTTATCTACTAAAGCTTATATTTGTTTAAAACTATAACACTCTATATAAGAGTTTTTCTCAATACGCAGGCTACCTACTACAAAAGATCCTATCAGAATTTTTCCATGAATCACTTAAATATGCAAAACAAAAGTTGTATGTGTAGGTCTTAAAGACAAATCATAATGACGATATTATGAAAAAAAATAAGTACGGTGTTAAATAATGCAAAACGAACATATTACAGTCATTTTAGTATGAAAACGGGTGTAATACTAGTAAGACATTAGATATCATTAATGAGTTCATAACTGGGAAAGAAACAAAATGTTACAAGTTGCTAAAGTGAGCAGGCTTATCAAAAAGGAAAGTGGAAACAATGAACTCCTGACAAAGTAATATTGATATTGTCAATGAATTCAATCATTTGGGGGTAAATATAATTATTGGTCCAAAATTACCAGATACACTGCTAAATGAAAGTATGTCATATAGACATTACTCGGAGGAACATATACCGACATATTTCGGTTTTGTCAGGATTAGCAACACTCTTTGAAGAACAAAAATCATGAATAATACAGTTTTTAGAATCAATTTTTTTTTTACCATAACCAATAGGGATTCCGTAACAAAAATACAGTTCAAAATGATCGTTGATAAACTTGTCCTTATTATTTCAAAATCAATATATGCGGGTAGAGCTAGTGATGAGCTATACTTGAGATTTGTATCGATTATAAAAAAGCGTTTGATACAATTATTCACGATGTGATAGGGGGTCTTCAACGAAAATGGTTTGAAGATTATTATTATAGAACGCAGGTATCAGTACGTTCATCATAGTGGAGAATAGTATCAAGTAGGACAAAGAAAATGAGATGTGGCGTTCCTCAAGGCTAAGTTATAGGACGAACATTGTTCTTACTCTATTTGATCATATCAGCTATCATCCGTTTCAATTTTTTAGATATTGTTTTTAACTTTATGTTGTCTTGTTTGGTTGTTGTTGTTTTTGTTTTTTGCGTGTTCCGTTAGTGTCTTGTTTTGTATGTACATTATAAAACATGGTTTAATTTTTCTTTGTACTTGAATAGCATGAGATTCTTCTTTATACAGATGTTGATTAAACGTTCCACGTAATAACACATAAGAGAAACACAATTTGTAATTATATACATTGTAAGTTGACAAGTCATGCACTACTATGTTCACTTTGTTCACACAAAAAGTATGTACCAGTCTTTTTTTATCATATCATATGTTCCGAATACTTTAAAGGTAAAAGAAAAAGAATAGTTCGTTAAAAAACGTTATGTTATGACCAATAACAACACTTGATACAAAGAAGAAAAAAATATGAACAATAATTTGCACAATTATCAATCATATGCAACACTTTGACTTAGAATGTAGGAATTAAATAAAGCACGCAATATAAGAAGTAGACACACATATAACTTTCTGGTTTGGAGTCGTTTTTCGTTTCCCTTTTTATTATTCAAATATATGGCATGAAAATAGAAGTAAAAGTGTGTGTGACTGTAAAGGTGAAGAGAAAGAGACTTCAGCAAAATTGTGTTTTAGGCGAGTATAAAACCATTTTGTTCAAGATGTGTCCCTATGACTTTGTTTCATTTGGGAGTAGAGAGATAGATTGAAATATAAAGATAGATTAAAACGATAAATATTGATATACAGTAGGTTTGCGGTTGCACCATGTGTGTGAGAGAGAGAGAGGTTTGAGGAGTCCTGAAAACGACTCTGACTCGGTAATCTTTCTTTGAGTAGTGTAGTCCTGAAAAGGACTGTTTGTTATCTTTCTTAGCATATAGTTCTCAGAAGAACTATAGCGCTTGGAGAGGATGAGTGGCTCGACGTTTCGAACAGGTTGACTATCCGTCGTCAGGAGTGGAGAATAGCTACTATTGAGTGGTAATAATAATCAAAAGATAAAAATAAGTTATTGAAAAAAAAGATCAATTAAAAGCACGCGCGTGTGTGCGGTTGTATATGTGTGTTCGTGTGTGTGCGTGTGTGTGTGTGTGTGTGTATGTGCGTATGCGTGTGTGCGTGTTTGTGTGTGCGTGTGCGTGTGTGTGTGTGTCTGTGCGTGAGGCTCTTTTTTTTAAATAATATTCATTCACAGTGCACAAAATATTATATTGTTATAAATGAGTAATAACTTACATCTGTATATAGTTCAGTTATGTTTATGTGATAATTATACCTAAACGTACTATATATCATTTGTTAGGCATTTGTAATAGTTTGAGAAATAAAAATGGAAAGTTGCGACTTGTTATTATTTTATATTTCATTTGTAATATTATGACAAATTATGTATATGTTATCATTTTGTTGTTATTTCTTGTGAAAAAATCCTCTGGACAGCCATGCATTATGGCTCAAGGTATGGGCACACCGAAGATTTTTTTATGTTGGGAACCGGAAGAAAATGCAATAAATTATTGAAAATTTATTGCATTTTCTTCGTTGTTTTTTTTTTATTGATGGAAACGGCCCCTACCCTAGCCCCCACTGCGTACAGTCATGGTTCAGTGACAAAGCAATGGCCACGTAACTGTGAGGCCCAAGGATCAAAACCGTGTCGATGTGTTATATTAGTGCCCTTTTGTGTGGCATTAATCCTCATAACTGTCATTTATGACTTAAGGGCATAGGTCCCCTAGTTGATAAGCAAAGTAGCATGCACATGCTTTAGCAGTCACGCAAAACACACATTGGCAAATCATTATTCAATAAAATCTGAGAATGTATACTATTATCTAGATCTATTATTTTTTTTAATTATTTTTAAAATAATTCCTAAATTGGGATAAAAAAAAAATTATTCCACCTTTATGAGCGACAGTGTAAGTTCCCCTTTTCAGGTACGAGTAGCGCTCATTAACACTTTTGATAACCCCCTTCACCTCTGATAATTGCCCTATTCAAATCTGAGAGGTTCCCCTTTTCCTTTGTAAAAAGTGCCCCTTCCCCTTTTGATAACTACTCCTTTTTAACTCGGATGAGCGCACCTTATATTTTCACATGTGCCCCCTTTCCTTTTTAATAAGTTCCCCTTTTCTTATGATAAGTGTCCCTATTTAAAAAAGAGCTCCTTTCCCTTCTCATAAATGCCCCATTTTCATCTATGAAAATAGTTCAAAATCTGAAGGATGCCTCTATTCCGTCGACAAATGCCCATTTCCCATTCTCATAAATTCCCTTTTCATCCCTGGTGTGTGCCTCTTTTGTTAGGTATAAGAAGTGCACCATTTTCACTGATAATTAGCCTTTGTACTTTGACACGTGCTCTTTTTCTTTTCTATTCTTAACCCTTTCGATAAGTGTCACATTTTCCTCCCATCATTAAACATGCCCCTAATGTCAAGCGACTAAGAGCAATTTACCCCAAAGCTCGCTCGTAGTTATAGATGTTATAATTTTGGATCTTTTCAGTCTTCCTTTATGAGAATTGTCTTATAACCCCAAGAGGATTGGGTTTTTCCTCTTTATAAGATGTAATTTTCGCACTGCGACCTCACAAATCTTAATTTTGTTTCCTCGCTCGCAAACGAATTTTCAGACCATCACACCCAACTGCAAAGTATGATGGTTAAGCAATATCTTGTATCATGTATAAAGAGAAACAAATATTAAAAACATCCCTAATAATTCAATCACAATATAGGGGTATATACCAATGTCTAAAAAATTGTATATTTTCGCTTAGAGATTTCCCTTTGAAGGTGCCCTTTTTTGTCCAGAAAGTGCCATTTTGTGTTGGTGCCCCCCCCCCCCCACTTTGGAAGTCGCTCCGCCGCCTCTGAGCTCAGCTAAAGCCAATTTACCATGCTGCGACTTGTCGGTGCCTCGAGCATCCCGGGGGGGGGGGGTACTCAGATTTGGTTTGGACGGGATGTGCCGCTCAAGCCTCGAAACCCCTACCAATTTTTAAGGATCATTCTGTTGGGGGGGGGGGGGGATTTTCTCGAAATAAAATAAAGGCACATTTTAATTTTGAAGAAAAAAACGGATCCATGTTTTGGAAGTTTTGTGAACACATATTTGGGCACAATCCCGTATGTCTTAATATGTGAGTACCCCCCCCCCCCCCCCCCCCCAGGGCTCGGGCATGTAGAAATATGTGTCTTTTTATGAGACCGAGGTCAATATATGCAGTGTATTTTTGAAAAATGTAGTGCTTCTCTCTCTCTCTCTCTCTCAATCTCTCTATATCTTAATCTCTCTCTCTCTCTCTCTCTCTCGGCTTTCTCGCTTTCTGCATCTCTATTTTTATCTCTTTTTCCCTTTCTCAGTTTCTCTTTCTTTCCCACTCTCTCTTTCCCTTTTGTACCATCTGATAGGGATCACGTGCCTTATCGGCCCCGTCGCTACGCTACAGTGTAGAGTGCTCGATCGAATCGATGGCAATTCACGATAATTGTGGTGATACCCTTCATTTTGAATTGATCTAGGCATTCTAGGGTGACGGGAAAACGACACTTTTTTTTGGATCCATTTCTTTATACTCTCTTAATGCAGTGAAAGGGTACTGAACTCTTTAATGAGTCATATTGAGGATAACTCTGTTTTTGGAGTTGAATCCACCCCAAGTTATAGTGGATTCTACTCCAAGAAATAGTTTGAATTGCTTTTTAGAGAGTGAAATCCATCAAAACCTAGAAATTCCACTCCGAAATAAAGAGATCTTAGAAAAGTGTATGGAAGAGTGGATTTCTACTGCATACCTTTACGGACTAACAATGACGTTAATATCTCCCAACAAATATATTTATTGTCCAAATAATGTATTATGATCACCCTTAATCAAAAAGTACAGATGG